GGGCGGTGGCGGGGGGGGGAGGGGGGGGAGGGTGGGTCCGGGAGGAGTGAGGTGGGAGGCACGGGCGTCTTCGCAGCGCGGGAGTGGAGGTGGCGTTGGTACCAGGGTGGCCACGGCGGGAGTGGTGGGAAGTGCAGATGGCAGATGCGTCTGGAGGTGGCGCTGGCACTGCTGCTGGAGGACTGGTGTTGGGGCCGCGAGAGGGAGTCGAGGTCACACACTGATTTTGGGTTTGAGGCACGTGGTGGAGGGTGAGGCGGGAAAAGCGGAGGGACTTGGAGAGGAAGCAACTGCGTCTGTGAGTCTGAGGTCCAGGTTGGTGGGATAGGCCAGTCGCACGGAGAGAGCATTAAAGCCACGGGCAGGGAGCAACCTACCCATGTGAGGCAGGCTGAGGACGGAGCCACAGGGACCGTCAGAGGTCAGGGTGCGGGAGAGGGGCCAGCAGCCAGTGGAGGAGAGGCGGTGGCTCAGAGACCCGGAGCAGAAAGTGGTTCTGGAAGGAGCGGCCAGTTACCTGGGCCACGTGCTGCCGAGGGGCTGCAAGGGATAAAAATAGGACTGTGCCCTTTGGCGCTGGTGAGACAGAGGTCACCGGTGACCTTGATGGATCCAGCGCAGGGCGTGGGGGGTGCCCTGGAGGGGCTGGGGGTGGAGATGGACCTGTGGGCAGTTGTCTTGAGGAAATCTGCGTAAGAGGCAGGGAGAGAGGCATGGCCTCAGGTGTTCAGGTCAAGTTGTCTCTGCGGAAGGTTCTAGAACTGTGTCTGATGCAGCAGCCACCAGCAAGTGCCCAGTAGCCGCACGAGCCCAGCGGCTGCCCGCTGGATGGCGCACGTGTGAACGCCGCCTGCACCATCACAGAGTCTGCGGGCACTGCGTGCGGGTGGGGGAGTGGGAGGGAGGCCGCGGGGACACAGGTGAAGCGTGGGGCCGGAGGCTGGCGGGGGCAGGTGCGGGCAGGGACCCAGGGCCTGTGCCTCCCCCGTGACAGGATCCTGGGTCTTGGGGGGCAGGTCCCTGTACCCCGCCGTCCCCGCACCTGCACTGCAGGAATCCTGGAAACAGCCGCTTAGTGAGCGGCGCGTGGTATACAAGGGGCAGAGTGTACGAACACGGGAGGGGTGAGCCGTGGGACGGGGTTCCTAAGTGACCCAGTGACTTGTGAGCCCACGAGAAAAGGGCTGTCCCTGGTGTCCATTCAGAACCTTTCTGGGGTGCATCTGCCAGTTCCCTGGGCAGTGGTTTCAATGGGGCTCCCAGACCTCAGGGGGCTTCCAGCCCCCACACTGTGGGGGGGGGTCAGGGCCGACACAGTGGCCCCGAGGGGGCTCAGGGAGCCCAGGCCCTGCAGCTGGACGGAGGAGGCATCTGCTGGACCTGCCACAGGCGCCGTCCCCACCGGGAGGGCAGGCTGACGCCTATGTGCACTTAGACAGGGTCCCCTGTGTAATGTGGCATGTGGGACAGGAGCTTGGGGGTCCCAGCAAGGCTGAGATCGTGAGGGGCAGAGGTGACTGTTTCTGAGGGTGGTGGCCACACCGGCAGGGGGACAGCAAAGTGGCCAGGTAAGTGGGTAGGGCTCTGTCCCCCTGGGCCTGGCACCAGGCCAGCCCAGAGGTACCCACAGGGTGCCAGGGCACAGGCTCCCAAACTCTCGCACGGGGCGGGGGGTTGGGGGTACGTGGTGGCACCAGTCAGGACGGGGAGGGGAAGAGGCTGGGGCCGGCCCAGCCTGCACACCCTCCGTGCCTGGGTGGAGCTAATCCGAAGGCACGCAGGTACACAGACCAAGCTGGCGCCCCCATGCACACGCAGCCCTGCAGCCACCCTTAGCCGACCCAGCAGCGGCCGCCTGGTGCCCAGGTGCCCTGGGAGTGGGGCAGGGAGCGAGGCTGGGCGCTCCGGGCCTGTCCCCCCCACTGCCCGCGCTCGCCTGTGATAAGGGCTCTTTAGGCCCTGTAATCCTCCTTAACTTGACTTTGGGTTATTTTGAGCAAGAGATTAAAGGTGATTACCATCAGCCTTGCCGAGGCGCCACACTTCCTCGATGGTCCTGCTGCTCCCCTCCCCCCAGTCCAGAGGCCTGGAGGCAGGAGCCAGACTCTGATGGTGCCCCCACCGCTGTCCCCCAAACTCTGCCTCAGAGGCACCTGCAGTCAGATGAATGGCGACGGGCCTGCCCAGCTGCCCCCACTGGTCGGCCTGCTCTCGACCTCCTGGGAGCAGGGTGTCTGGCATCCTGGGCGGATGGGGCAGGTACACGGTGGGGAGGGAGGGGCGCACAGGCCAGCAGTGCTACTCCCCGTGGGATCACAGGATGGACCAGCAGGGACCCCAGCTTCTCCCTGTAGGCTCCCTCCTTAGGGGAGGGAGACCTAAGCAAAGCCTGACCTGCCCCTGGAGACATACCGGTTGGGCCCAGAGAGGCCCAGTGCATTGCGGGATGTCACACAGCAACCTGGGGCCACGCCCTTGATGTGATCCGCCAAGGCTCACCCAGACCTCTTCTGATCTCTCCCCTGTCCTTGAATCAGAGACTCCCCCAGGAACCAGATCAAAACTGAGGCGGAGGTGGGGGGATCCATTGCACATCATTATTTTTTCCTCCCAATTTAAACCGCCTCAGTGCAGACTAGGTGCAAACGTCAGTATCAGTGAAATACACTCAGCTGGCCGCCTGCCAGGCCACAGAGCGGTTACAGGGGCGGCTGTAAATCCAAACAGTAACAAGCAAACACACACTTACTCATCTGTCCTGTGGAAGAAATACGAGGGCAGAGGGGTGAGTCCCTCGGTCGGGGGGGGCGTGGGCCAGGGGAGGGAAAACCCGCAGCGACCTCCAGCCACAACACCCAGCACGCACCCGGCTCCATCCCCCAGTGCTGCCCCGTGGATGCCTGCTGCCCTGGAGCAGCTCAGGGTCTGGTGGGGACGTATGAGCAGCGAGCGGCGTGTTCTTGTCGCTGCCGGGTCCCGGGGCTGCAGAAGTGTCCTTGCTGGAGCCTGCGGAGGAGGCGGGGGTGCCCTCTCTCCTTCCGGACACCCTTCAGGTCCCCAGAGCAAGATGGAGAACTGCAGAGACCAGCCAGCCGGCTCATCCAAGGAAGCTGGCCCATGCTGTGCTGGGCCACTCGGCCCGGAGGGCACAGACCAGGAGCTGGCTGTCCTGGTGCCTCACTTGAGAAGCTCGAGGGAGGATCTCCACGGCCAGCTGAGGACCCTTTGGCCGGGGCTCCGAGCGCCCTCTGCAGGTGGCTGCAGTGCCTCGGCCAGGCCCTCCAAGGTCTTCAGGAGGGAACAGGGCATTTGTCACACCCGTGTGACCGGCCGGAGCAGCCTCGTCACTCATCCACCAAGCAACTTTAGTCTTGTCCCTGGGCCTCGGTTTCCCCAACTGACAAATGGGGCACCTGGTGGTCAATTCCCCGTGGCTGCCGTGATACGGCCGAGCAGGGGTTGCGTCTGCTTTGAGAGGAGGCAGCAGCGGGGCTCAGGCTGACCCTACGCTTCCCACCCGCGAGAGTCAGAGACAAGCCCGAGGGCACGGACTGAGCCCTTCCTGCGTGTCCTGCCTCATCGCAGCTGCCCCGAACGCACCTCCACGATGCACTGGGCTGCTTGGCTGCGGCACCCGGGGAAGCCCAGTGCCTCCTGACCGCTCTCTCTCTCTCCCCTTTGTCTTTACAGCAGGAGCGGCTGGAGCCGTCAGGAAGCCCAGGCTGATGGGGAAGGCGGCCGCGGTTCCGGCCGGACGTGGGTGAACGGCGAGAGGCTGCTGGCCGTGAGGGGGCGCCCCGCACCCAGTGCTCGCACCGCCCCGGGCGGCCATGTGGCTTGGGACAGGG